AACACGGGGGGAGTTTCCCAACGGCAGCTCCGCACGGGATGCGGAGCGGGGATTGTCACCGCTCCCCAGCACCGGGGCCTCGAATCTGTCACCGAGAGTCTCATTTTCCAGCGCACTGAACACGGACAGCACCAGCCAACACCAATGAGCGATGCATCACTAGGAACACGGAGCAGAAAACAGCAATTCCCCTTCTCCTTAAGGAACAGGAGCCACAGCACAATGTTCCCTTCTACCGATCCATTCCCTGGCAGACACTGCCCTGTTCACGATTCATTAAGTGAAACTATGAACCGCAGTTGTCTTAGGACCCAAATCTTGGGCACTCTGAGGCGCAGGGTCCTCCTTGCCCTCGAGGACGCTCTCCTGGATGCCCAGGGGCTCTGCTGAGGGGACATCACGTCCCACCACTGTTTGTGCAGGTGGATTCTGCCATAGGAATAAGTTACTTGCAGAAACGTCACCGATTTCTGCAAGGGAATTGCGTTACATTTACCAATTGCTCCAAAGCAAACAGCTTCCCTGCAACAAGTTAGCTTTACACAATCAGCCACGGCCATCCAGCTAAAACCCCCCGTTTTGTTTTTTTCCAGTCCTCCCTGCAAGTCCAGGGGCCGCAGCACAAACAGATCAGGTTCCCTGTGCTGGGGTACAAGGAGCACTTGATTCCCCAGAATATCACCTGTCAAATATGCCAAAAAGCTTCTTCTTGGGTAAAGTTTCTCAAGTGCGTTAGCAAACAAAGAGAGAAAGGTTCTCAGGACGATGGTTACAAGCTAGACGAGAATTAAAGAGCTTGATGCGGTCGTGTTTGCTGGACACGACCGATGAGTCTGCCCTGGTAAAGGAAGGTAAAGGAAGTAGCTGAAGGAAAATAGAAAGCAAAAAATTGATGGAGAGATACATGGGGAAACCGGAGATGGCAGAAAAAACAGAATTAGCGTGAAGTCTCCTTGACTGTGCAAGGAGGGATAACAAAATGCAGCACTGCTCACTGGAAATACGGCTGATTCCGGGGAAAAATAAAAGGCCCTGAGTGAGTTTGTGCGTCCTGCAGCGCTCGCAGAGGTGCCCGCAGCGCCCGTGGACACGGAGGCGGCTCCCGCACCGAGGCCTCCTCGGAGCTGCAGCCCCCGTGTCGGCGGAGCCGCCTCC